ATCGAAGATAAGCCATGGAGACCGTGGTAAAATAAAAAAAAAAAAGAAAAAGGTTCGGACACAACATGTGCGTGATTGAAGTGATATAAACTACTAATACGCGTATCGATAGTAATCCACGGTCGATCGACCGCGACCGAAAACGCGCCAATTCGACGTGCCGATTTATGCGCCGCGTAAAGAATTCCGCGAAACGGAAACATGTTCCTCAATTACATAGATCATTGTAGACGAGCGGTCCCGTCCGTAGTAGGACATCACCGTGAAATTAGAGGACCGTTAAAAGACGCGAGTTTATTCTTCCGAGTGCGCGTGCACAGTCGGCCAGTAGCCAATGAGGCAGTGCCTTATTAAATAGTGCCTTGTAAATATATCGGTTCAATCCAACTGAAAATGAGTACAGATGATTTCTCCCAAATATCTCGAAATGTCGCGTCAGTCCTTTTTGTCTTATCATATTGTCCTATCCTTTTCCTTTTTCATCGAACCTCCTTGTAAATAAATTACATAAATATTATATTTTAAGTGCCTTACGCAACAAGAATCACCGAGGTCTTCCATTCTGTTTCTTGTACGTAAAACGCTAAGCGGTTTGTAGAATATCGTTGTAAGTACGAAGAATGTTTTTAATCGATACGATTTTAGACTTAAGATTATGTTAAGGAAACGAGCGCGAGTAAGAGTGTGCATGAGAAATATTGTACATGAATGAAAATCACGAAAGAGAAAACGTTATTTATATTTATACGAATGCAAAAGAGGTTACATTTATAATTCCTCTCTATTATGAGAATAGACAACCAACGCTTATCATTGCAAGAGCATCAAATAAATGTTGATCTCTTTCTCAATACAATTTTTATGTTGTTTATAAATCAATCAGTTCCCTCTCAATCCATTTCCTCAATATAATCAAGTATATATTTTATTTTTACTCTGACTTTCGATTTATTTTTATTTTTTCTAACTGTATACATATCATATTTTTATTACATCTAACTGTATATTTATAAAAAAAGATATTATCTTTAAAAGTTTTTTTTTTTTAAATACATGCAATATATACAAAATTCAAATATAAATTTTCAATGAAAAATATAAGTGACAGAAATTCGAAAGAAAATATTTTCGCTCTCGAGATGCTTGAGCTCCCATCAGTAACTCTCGCTGCACATCTCAAGCGAGACTAAACGGAGTTCGCGACAGCGAAGTGCTCCGTCTAGGTGCTGCCATCTGGTGAAGAAACGTGGTGTTATACCCAAGAACCGATGACCATCTCTTGTCCGACCAGGCCCAAAATTTCTCCCTTTGCCCAAAGTACCAAATGCCAGAACCTGCTGCCTTCTACTGGATCTTGTTGGAACACTGTTAGGACCCTTTATAAGACCCTGAAAGAATTCGAATCCTTTTCTCATCTGATAATAAAAATTAGTAAATTATTTCTATAATGTATGGATGAATAAAAGGTGATATTTTATTCTTTCTTCAGCAAAAATGTAAATTTCAATTTTCTATCTGATTATTAATCAATTAAAATGTGAGAAATAATTCATGATATTTATTAACAATTTTTATTTTTTCATTTTATTTATATTATCGATCAGGCAATCGATTACATTTACTGCTGCCTGAAAGAATAAAGTTGAAATGCAAATTATTAGACACCACCAAATCTAATCACCGAACTAGATCCTAAGCAGAGATCGCAATAGCTGATTATCGCATTCGCTTTCTCTCGCCGCCAAATGTTAATAATTTTCAAACGAGTAGCCAGCATTCACTATACAATTTAAAGTAGATAAGACTGTCTCGCCACGGACAGTTACAATGTATGTTTAAACATCGTGGCAGTCACGTGCTTCGCTTACTCGTAAATTTATCTGTTATTTCCAGCCGTGTTGTACGTAAAAACGCAGAACTTATTTACAATTACCTAATCGTTTATATATATATATATATAAAACACTGTAAAAAATAAAATGATAATTTTAATTTAAAGACGTATAGTGGACTTCCTGAAACATGAAAAAATGTTAAAATTAACATGAAAATGTTAATTTTAATGTTTTTGCATGTCTTAGAAAGACATATATTTTTAAGTTAAAATTAACATTTTATTTTTTACAATGTTTTTACATTTTTTACAATTTTTTTACATTTTTTACAAATATACACACATAAAGAAAATTCCATTGAATTGAAAAAAAATATTTAAAATATGTACGTTCTTTTTATCTTAAATCTCTGTTTTTGTATTCAAGTAAAATAATAAAAAAATGTATAAAAAGAATAATACACTTATAATATTCGTGTAATTTTTACATAGAGACGAAAACTAAAGTTTTCGAATATCAAGAAATGCATGCAGACATATATAGTCGGATTGTTGATCTTCGCGAAAACCGCGAAAGCCTAAATTACCATAATGTCCTCCTCTGCGGGCAATGACATTCTTGGTACAGCAATTTGCGAGGCAGAAGCAGTGTGCAGGACCATGATGCCACACGCAAAACACGCCGAATGACAAATTGCATAGTACTCTTCTTTCTTTTATAGTACTTTCAGCGTAATTCATTTACAAGGGGCGAATTACGCCGAGAGAAGATATCTTCGCCATTGCAAGTTTTTATGACTATGGAAACATCGTATTCATTATTAATTAATGCAGACATGGCTTAAAGAAATAATTACTCAAAATTTTTTTCTCGGATAATAATATGCGCATTGAATATTAATGATCCATTTGTTAATTAATGCAGTGAGACAAAAATCGCTTAGCATTTCATATCTCGATTTCAATTTCGAATCATTTTATTTCCCACATTTTAATTTCAATCAAACACCAACATATTCTGTAAATGATGATTTAACATACGCATTAGGATCATATTTATCTGATCACATTCAATTATCTATGTTTGTGTAAATGCTTCAACAAACACATCTCACGATATATCGTGCGAATTGTCTAGGTCTAATGAAAAAAATTTGACTCCTACCAGACACAACGGCACACGCGAGTCTCGCGGCGATGAGTTCGTTTCGAACAAAAATCTCGTCCTATAATTGCCTTCCTATTTTTTTACACCTCCAGGCGACTAAGCCTAATGGTCTTAAGTTGACAATGGCTGAGAATTGTAGTCTGAAAAATTTAATTATATCAAATCCGCTCTACCTGCAATTCCATGTATTACAAGTTATTTGGGATCGTGCCAAAAACTACATTCTCCTACGAACTCGTTCGGGAATTCGTGCAACGGTTCCTCTTTTCGGCGAAAAAATTATCATAATGCGCTCATCAATCTCACGATGAAAGAAACGACAAAAGTCGCGAAACTGGATAGTCGGAGTTCTTTCTCGGGGAGAATATCTTGTTCGCCGATTGTGCGAATTTGCGTCGGGTGTTATCTCTGCATTAGGAAATTCCCGGTCACTCATCTGCATTTAACAAACGTCACGCGCCGGTTGTGTTACGTTAATACTCTACGATGAATAATCGAGTCGAAGCAAAAGTCTCACATTGCATGGAATTATCATGATAATTTATGTGCGTATGTTGCAAAGGTTAATTATCGAATATAAAAAAAAAAATCAGAAAATCGAACTCTTTGCAGCCTTGGCATTTGCTATTTTTGTTTTCAAATAAGTGTAAACTCTTGAGACGTAAATGAAAAACATACTTAAGAGACAACTGTCACTTGTACATACTAGTTTTTTTAACATTAATAGTGAACAGTATATAAACTGTAGACGTTGATTACTATCAAAGCATTTCCCTTCGGAGAAAATTTACTTTAGAAAACTTAAAAAAATACTTAAAACTTACTGTGAAGAAAACCTAAGAAATAAAGGTAAATTTGAACACTTCAAACTTTTCTTTCAAGTAACTTTAAAAGAGCAACTAAAAAGAACTATCGCGCTGTGTCGATTATATTAAAGTCATCCTTAAAAAAACTTTAAAAACTTTAAATTATTTTCTTAACGCACTTTAAATTACCTGAAAATTTTTTAAGTAAACTCTTAATTATTTTTAAGAACTTTAACTTTCAGCCAGAAGTATATTTTCCCTTGTTTCTTGGTAACACAACATAACACAAAATATTACTCAAATTTCTAATTTTGATTGCAATTCTAGTCACGTGATAGCCGTAATCCGAAACCTGATTCCTAGGAGACAAAAGTTGGAATCCTCTTCAGGATGGGGCTTCCTAGGAATTCCTCAATCAGCTGATTCCTAGAATCTTGCGAGTGCATATTTGCTAGCCCGTCACTCCGGCTTGGCTCGATATACGGTCGCGGTCGCGTTTCAAGGATACAGCAAGGTTGACACGCGCCGCTACTTACAGGCGGTTAGTAAGGGGATTAGCCCGATCTCGCTCGGGCTATCGACTGTTCGCTGCTATTCTCTGTTTCCACGTATGCGTTACAGCATCATCTGGTGACGCTGCCAAGCTTCAACATGATGAACTTTACGCCAGAATTTCGAGTGTCGACGCGATGACATCATCGCCACGATATATCTTGAGCTATGCACTTTGTATTTCCATCATTCTTGGAAGTATCGTTCTATGCGTTAAAAATAAGAATATCCTTGTTATTAAAAGTATACAGCTACTAACAAGAAAATACAATTATTAGATTTGTTCGTCTTATCTTTGGTCTTCGAAGAACTCGAACTTCTTTTCAAACAGTTTGGCTCTTACAATTCCCAAAACGCTTCGGAAGCTCAGGTCCGTACAATAGAACGGGGTCTTTCACAACAATCGAAAAAGAACGTTGGCATTTTTGAACGTTCCACGTGCCGGAAAACGCGTGGCATGGCGATCACGGTTTCTTCTTCACTAAAATTATACGTGATGACAGCCCATGGCATGTGACTTACGACTGATCGAAATATATTTAACATTCATTCTCGCTTAGATATTTTTCTTTTTGTAAATTTTTTGTGCGCAACAAAAATTATATAAATTCATTATTAGAAAAGCAGCATAAATAGCAATCGGTTAACACGATGTCTAATCTAACGCATTGTTTCTCAATCGATGATTTTATATTTCGAGAACGCTAATACGGCGTATTAACACGTCGCTAACACGGCTAGACGCTTACTCGAATATTTATTTTTTATTATGCCAGACGCTGAATAATCAACGGTCAATTCGACGAGGATTCGAATTTCCGGGATTGCCTGAAACCGATGTTGTTCACATGAGGAAATGATGACGGCCACTAATTTCCAGAGACGTCAGCGGTCTTGACCTATAAATGCGAGAATCGTAATCTGAGATTCCTCGTCCATTACTTCCGTGTAATCGCAGAAGTATTTTCTACCTGCGGAATTGCAAAGATATACTTCCATTAATAAGGTGCGTTATTCACGTCATAACGTCACGTACTTATCAATTTGTCATTTGCGTATTCGAGACTGTAATCCGAACGCTTTATCGCGCGATTCTTCGAACGACACGGCTGATTGCGACTGTGCACGAGGTGTGCATTCGTTTTCCTCTTGTAATCCAGGGTCCGCGATATTAAACACGCCAAATAGCAACGCGATCTATCCTAGTCATGCTCGATCATTGTTACCGTGAGCTTACCAGTGCTACACGATCGTCCGGTGCATCTCGCCCATCGCGTGTAATCTGACATTTACATAGTCTCGAGTAACAAGCCGAGACACGTTTCAAATACTTGTCTACTTTATCCATGAGTGTCATCGATATCGATAATTTCATCGGACGATGTACCGTTGCGTTAAAGAATTCAGAAAGAGATTTCTTAGGGAGAGAAAAAGAGACAGAAATTTACCTGGAGCGATACATTTCAATATTCCACCGCAGAAATATACTCATTGCAATCGAATTACCGAGCGATCCTCGCTTTCTCATCCGCATCGCGCTACCTGCTACCATCGACCATTAATCAACCTATTATCGCTGTGGCTGCCACATTACCAGAAATAAGCGCATCGCGTAATTACCCACACATCAACGCTATATGTGGGATACATAGAAGAGACGGCATCGACCGCATACAGTGCGATTCACTCGCCTCGCGCTTAGCGAGGCACACGTGGACGCGGCGATGCTCTGTATGACTCGATAAGGGCGTGATTCCATTCACGAGCACGGCAATTTGGGTTAATAACACAAGGCGGCGAAGCGCGTGCGAGCCACAAAGAAAGACAGAAAATGATAAAGAGATAGAGGGAGCCAACAAAGAGAAAGAGAAGGAGTGAGAGAGGAAGAGGGAGGGAATGGACGCGCATACGACGTCGTCGTCGGCGGTTATGATTATTAAGATTATCGTTATTCCACCTCGCGCGAGCCTCGGAGCTCGAGAGAAGTGTGTGGGACGAGAAGCTCGAGTTATTTATGAAGTGCGCGCG